TGAAAACATATTATCCTATATTTTGTTTCCAAAAACATGAAAAACAATCTTAACCCATGACTGGTCGGAGCTTATCTCATCCATCTCCCACATCACAGACAAGTGAGAATTTCTTCTTTTTTTTTTCCTCTTCAACTTCTGGCCTCTTCTATATATATAAATATATATATATATATATATATTATATATATATATATGTTTGGACTTTTTAGTTCCTCCTTAAAAAATCATAATCACAACCAAAAAATATTTGGAGGGCCATGGTAAATGACGTTCGAAGTGATCAGAAGCATATCATTGGCTTCAAATTCGATCCCCACCCAAATCATATGGGGGCACAAGCACCAGAATTTGAATTGCATTGGCGCCACAGTTGATGTAGGGTTGATGCCAATGATTTTCTCATCCAAAAAAAAAAAAGAAAAAAGAGTCTCACTGTCATTTGTTAAAAATAGACACAAGTGACCCATATATAACTTGTAATAACTTTCTTCGAGTTTGATGACCTACTTACTTGTCTCGAATGAAATGGAAAAGAGTTAACCGCAAGGCACGTTTGAATGAATAAAATTGGTTGGTTTGGTCATGACCTGTAATTGAATTTGATAAGAGTATAATTAGTGTGCACTTAAAAATAATATATATTTTAAAAAATGGCAAAATTTTGAATTTATGGAATAAATTTAAAATTATTGCAGTATGGGTTATAATCCAGAATAATGTGATCTACTATTTCAAGTTGAATTAGGATCCTATGGTCATTCCAAAAAAATAAATAAATAAATAAATTAGGAATCTATGGGGCGCATCGTTGGGTTTCATAGCCTCATGTTGATAATTAAAACAATTGATTTGTAATATTCTTTGAGCATTCATTCAAAAAATTAGGTTAATTTACGGTGGCGTAGCCAGAAATTCAGTGAAGAGGGAGTACAAATTAATGACAACATTAATTTTTTTTCATAATAAACAACAATGAGATATTACTAAACTCAAATATTAAGAGTACATTTGGATAAATGTGAATTATAAATTAAAGGATTTGAGATTAAATTTTATATAAGTATTGGGGAGTAACTATTTTATAGGTGGATTAGAAAATTAAAAAAGAAGATAAATTGAGATAGAAATTATATATTTTAGTAGAGAAATTCTATAAAATATACCGCAAAAAAAAAAAAGTGTCTATCATATGTCGCAATTATGATCTTCGTGGTCTTTAGTTATAACATATTATAGTGTTAGATATAATTTAGTTATAACTTCGTTTGGTTGTTATTTTATGTAATAGTTATTTATGACTCATTCTGATATTAGTTATGGCCTATTGTAATTTTTTTTTTTTTTTTTTTATAATTGAAGATGTTGCTGGATCATAATTTATATAGTGGTCATTTTAGTTATGAATGGAATGGAGGATAAACTCCAAATGTCAAATGTAACTAACAATTTAATAAATTCCATTCTTCATTGAAATTAATTATGTTTGCAAGGCAAAAATGATAGACATCACCATTATATTGAAATTTTCATAGATAATAATATGACTTATCATAATCTTTTTATTTTCAATCAAAATAACTATTATTGTTCTCATAATTTTAAAAATACCATTGACATTTCACTTTAAATAATATTTTTATAAATTTTTTTATTTAAAATATTTTCTTTATGTTTAAAAAAAAAATTCTCAAAACCCAGGGGGGCACGTGACCCCCTGGGCCCTATGTGCCTCCGCCACTGATGAGATAACTATAATATATGATTAGATCATATTTATTTTTACAAAAATAGAAGACAAATGTGATTTTTATGATAAGCTATTCATTTTTTTGTAGATAATTTGATTAATTTGATTTCTTATAGGGATAATTTTCTTTAAGAGTTTTATAAGATGAACAATTTAAATATTTATCCAAAAAAAAAAAAGATGAACAATTCAAATATTTATAAAAAAATAAATAAACAATTTAAATTGTTAAGATGAAATGTGAGATAATATTTTTGAAATCCAACAATACTCATACCAAACTTTCAAATTCTCGACGTTTAAAATATTTTTTTATTTAAAGCGGATAACATTGCTTTCTTAGGGAGATACATGTCTCCAACTAATCCCATTCAAGTTGGTTGTATCTGAAAGTCGTTAAACTTAAGCAAGTATGATTTTCTTTTGTCTTTTTAATTATTATGAAATAATCACGGAGGGAAACTTTTTAAACATAATTTGGTGGCCAACCTTTTAAAACTTGTGGCATTATATGCCTTTGTTTGGGATGTGAATTAGTTTTTTTGATTTTTTAACTATTTTAGTTTGGGATTAAAAAATTTCGCTTGGGATAAATTTTTTGACTTTTATAAGAGAAAAAATAAAATTATTATGATTTAGATATGATATTTTATCTTTTTAACTTATTTTATATTTTTATAATTAAAATAGCTCCAATCCAACTCAAACTTTCATGCCAAACGAATCCTATATATGTTTGTTTATGCTGTGTTTGGTTGAGGGATTTGAGGAGAAATTTGGAAAGGAAAATGAAAAAGATAGGTGAAATGTGAATAAAACATGCCTATATTTCACCTAGTTTCACACACCCTTTCCCTTTCCCTTTCCTTTTCCCTTTCCATTTCCAAATCCCTTCCCGAATCCCTCAACCAAACACATCGTTAAGGTCCCATTTCGAAAATGATGGAACCATATCCATAATCCATTGTAGCAAAGATTCAATAGGCTTGAATTGCACTTGGTGCATGACCTTTTTTAAAAGGAATAAATTGTTTTTTTTTTTTTTTTACAGTAATGATTTATTTTTTTAAAATTAAAATTTTAATTGAACTCTAGTAAATTGAAAAGTAAAAATAAATAAATAAAAGATCAAAATATCATATCAAATAAATCTTATATGCCAAAATAACTATTATTGTTCTCATAATTTTAAAAATACCATTGACATTTCACTTTAAATAATATTTTTATAAATTTTTTTATTTAAAATATTTTCTTTATGTTTAAAAAAAAAATTCTCAAAACCCAAAAATATTTTCTTTATGTTTAAAAAAAAAATTCTCAAAACCCAGGGGCACGTGACCCCTGGGCCCTATATATGTGCCTCCGCCACTGATGAGATAACTATAATATATGATTAGATCATATTTGTTTTTACAAAAATAGAAGACAAATGTGATTTTTATGATAAGCTATTCATTTTTTTTGTAGATAATTTGATTAATTTGATTTCTTATAGGGATAATTTTCTTTGAGAGTTTTATAAGATGAACAATTTAAATATTTATCCAAAAAAAAAAAATGAACAATTCAAATATTTATAAAAAAAAATAAACAATTTAAATTGTTAAGATGAAATGTGAGATAATATTTTTGAAATCCAACAATACTCATGCCAAACTTTCAAATTCTCGACGTTTAAAATATTTTTTTATTTAAAGCGGATAACATTGCTTTCTTAGGGAGATACATGTCTCCAACTAATCCCATTCAAGTTGGTTGTATCTGAAAGTCGTTAAACTTAAGCAAGTATGATTTTCTTTTGTCTTTTTAATTATTATGAAATAATCACGGAGGGAAACTTTTTAAACATAATTTGGTGGCCAACCTTTTAAAACTTGTGGCATTATATGCCTTTGTTTGGGATGTGAATTAGTTTTTTTGATTTTTTAACTATTTTAGTTTGGGATTAAAAAATTTCGCTTGGGATAAATTTTTTGACTTTTATAAGAGAAAAAATAAAATTATTATGATTTAGATATGATATTTTATCTTTTTAACTTATTTTATATTTTTATAATTAAAATAGCTCCAATCCAACTCAAACTTTCATGCCAAACGAATCCTATATATGTTTGTTTATGCTGTGTTTGGTTAGGGGATTTGAGGAGAGATTTGGAAAGGAAAATGAAAAAGATAGGTGAAATGTGAATAAAACATGCCTATATTTCACCTAGTTTCACACACCCTTTCCCTTTCCCTTTCCTTTTCCCTTTCCATTTCCAAATCCCTTCCCGAATCCCTCAACCAAACACATCTGTTTATGCTGTGTTTGGTTGAGGGATTTGAGGAGAAATTTGGAAAGGAAAATGAAAAAGATAGGTGAAATGTGAATAAAACATGCCTATATTTCACCTAGTTTCACACACCCTTTCCCTTTCCCTTTCCTTTTCCCTTTCCATTTCCAAATCCCTTCCCGAATCCCTCAACCAAACACATCGTTAAGGTCCCATTTCGAAAATGATGGAACCATATCCATAATCCATTGTAGCAAAGATTCAATAGGCTTGAATTGCACTTGGTGCATGACCTTTTTTAAAAGGAATAAATTGTTTTTTTTTTTTTTTAAAGTTTAAATTTAAATTTGATCAAATTTGAGATGCTTGAGAGACCTATCATATATTTTATTTTAATGATTCAAATACTTCAATTTGTATGGTCATCTAGATTATTGATGAAAAAAATTAGATCGATTTAATAATTATAATATATATTTTTTTGTGTTTGTCTAAAAAAATAAATAGCCTATTTTAAAATATATATTTGTCATCAAATTTTTAAGAGACAAATCGATCTAATTTTTTTTACAAATAATATATACCAAATATTTTATAAAATAAATAATTTAAATTATCAAAATAAAACATAGAATAAATTCACGTACCCTCAAATTCTCTCGCCCTGTTTAACTTGTTCCTTAGTTTTCCCCCCACCAGGTGTCTCCAAATATGTATTAAGTGGTGTCTTGGCCCAATAATAATATGGGCCAAGAAGCACGATGAGACCTATTGGACTGCAATATGGGCTTAGCTGAAAATATAAAACTGTATCATGGGGCTAAAAATGCGGCCCAGTGGACTATTTCATAGGCAATTACAATTTTGGTGATTATCACATTTCTTTTTGGTAATTAATTTTTAAAATTTTGAAAATCTTTGAATTATTGTGTCTGATGGTGGGCTAACGATGTCTTATTTTCTCAATTAATTTCAAAATCTCACGAAATTTGGTTTCACAAATGTGTCCTCATCGTCTCATCTCAGATGAATTTCGAGGTCGTCTCTCATCTAATAACGCCCAGCAAGATTTATAGCCCATACGGTGGTCTGTCACTCACTGTATCACAATTTCCCTCTCTCTCCGTATATCACAACCAGAGTCGGAGTCGGAGTCAGTGGACTGAGACACAACAAATGGCTTCAGCTAACGAAGGACATAAGCAAGGTCTCTCTCTTTCTCTCTAAGTTTTTGAAATTTGGGTAACTGATGACTAGTTTGGCTAAAGAGAATAACCATGGTTTGTGGGTTTTTTTAGGTTCTGCTAAAAGAGTTGCTGTTGTTGGTGCTGGTGTTAGGTATGCTAATTAACTTTTTAAATTATAGCTTTTGGTTGTTGTTGGGTTGAAATTGTGAAATTAACGTGGGCTTTCTTTCATTGATTTTGTAATTGGTGCATATGAAATTGTTTAAAGCTTAATTTCTTTACCATGAAGACTTGCCAAATTGGGTAGTCGTTGATTATGTATGATTGCTTTGGTAAGAACTAAGAAGATGAATCTTATTTGCTTATGTTTTTTTTTTAGCACAATGTGGGTTTAATTGGTACCGCGAAGGTCAAATCAATAGGCTAAAAATGTCACTCGAAAGTTTTATGGTACACATCGGGGCCATATGCTTATGAATTAGTTATGAGATTTTGTAGTGGTCAAAATGTTATGGTTGGCTCTTAGGCATCCTCTCCTTGCAAGCCAGTTTTCAAGGATGAGTTATACTAAGAGGTTTCTATCATTTGGTATCATAGCTAGCCTCGTCAAGTTTAAATAGTTATTAATATAGGGTTTAGAGGCTTTTTTTTGTGTGTGTGTGCGCGCGCGAGCGCGTAAAAAAATTCTATGACCAAAAAAATGCATTTATGTAATAGTTGCAGTTTGCAACTTGAATGAATTATTTGCTATGTTATTTTGTCAGATTTATTTATGCAATTTGGAAGCAGTCAATCCCATCAATTTGTTTGTGTTTGTACTTTATAGAAATATGCTTGTTATACATATTATTATCTATTTGAAAAGTGGTATGTGTTTCCCAAAATTGATATTTGGCTTTATATATGATTTCCAAGTGGCCTTGCAGCAGCATACAAGTTGAAATTACATGGTTTGAATGTCACAATATTTGAAGCTGAAGGGAGAGCTGGAGGGAAGTTAAGAAGCATTTCACAAGATGGTCTAATATGGGATGAGGGGGCAAATACAATGGTAAGTTCACTGTCACAACTCTTTAAAGTTTTTTTCTCAGTTTGTACATGTCCGGCGAAATCTTATGATTCTGCTATGAATTTCAAACTGATCTAATATTGCTTACAAAAGTAAATGAGCTTTGGATGATCTTGTGCAGACAGAGAGTGAGATGGAGGTTGGATATTTGCTCGATAATCTTGAACTTCGTGGAAAGCAACAATTTGTAAGGGTTTCTACCTTTATTTTATATCCTAGCTACTTGGTTTTTATGGTAGGTTGGGGTTTTTTTTTTTTTTTTTTTTTTAACTTCATCGTTCAACCAGGGATTGCTTTAACTTCTGAGCAAGCTCTCTTTTATTAGCCTAATTTTCCTAGTGATCAGACACATAGGTCAAACTTGTCCTTGAACCACAGGTTGTGCTGGTTTCACATTCATACTAGGATGAGGTATCGACTTGTAATTCCATCTTCTGTCCTATTCTTAGTCGTGATCTTTTTTCCTTCCAATTTTGTTAAACTCCGCTGTGATGATTGGATTGGAATAACCATACACAGCATTATTTACAGCTGTATAGACCAGCAAGCCAACCAAATCTTCTTCAGTTTTGTTTTTCCCTGATTGTTTTTGGTACTTCGAGTTATATACAAATTTGTGTCAGAATTTTTCGTCACTGAAAATTGCTTTTTCATACCATTCATATTGCAGCCAATTTCACAGAACAAGCGCTATATTGCAAGAAATGGAGAACCTGTACTGGTACGTCCTGTTTGTTTCATCTGTACTGCTGATTGAGTTTTATTCTCACATATAGGGTGTATTATATATTTCCCTTTTCACTTTTATGCATATAGTGCTTTTTGTCTTTCACCATCATCTTAGTTCAATATGCCAGATACCTTCGAATCCCATTGCACTGATTAGAAGCAATTTTCTCTCTACACAATCAAAGGTATGTTACTCTCTACATGTTTGAAGCATATCTTATGAACTAAAACTAAAATTTTATTCTATTGCATTTGTTTCATGTCCCTTACAACTGTAACATAGTCATGGAAGTGTGACATTCATATAACATGATATGGGCATGCTGATTCGACAAATGCTGCCCCATAGCTGTTTCATGGTTATGATTATTTGAGGTCGGGTATCCCGACCAAGGCATCCAATTCTAGGACTATTTTTATACTCTTATTTGGCTTTCTTTTGTGCTTGGTCAGGATTAGGGATGGGACAATGTGAGCCTTACACTGGTTGGCTGTTGCATCTTGTGTCGCACCTTATTCCCCACCTCCCAGTGGGATTATTGGATACTTCTTAACATTGGATACCTGTGTTTGTATTGGCCAAAATTATGGTGTCCAAAATTTTGGGACTAAGGAATTGTCACTTGTTAATTTCTTTTGTGAATGTTTGTAATTGTTGTGTGGGTAGTAAGGTGACCATGAATACTTACTATTGTTAACCACTTCCATTGGCATAACATGTGGAGGTTGAACTACAAATTTGACTTTTATAAGTGTATACAAATTTTGCTGAACTTAATCTATATTCTTTACAAAGACAGAACTTTCTAATTTTTGTGAATATCCCCTAATGGACTGAGTTTATCTATTTTCAGTTTCAAATAATGTTAGAGCCATTTCTGTGGAAGAAACGGAACTATGCAAAGATGTCTGATGCAGAGGAAAGGTGACTGATCCAATTTTCTCATGAGTTGAAACTTCTTTGCTTTTTACATGTTACTTTTCTTTATGTCCACAGTAACACTTGAAACACCTTGTGATTCAAAATTAAACAGCTAGTTAATGATGTTATTGCTTCTGGTGCAGTCAAATATGTGTCTTCATAATTTGCTGTCTCAGTGTGTGCATACCCCAAAACAGTTGATATGTGTTGTAACTTGTGGCGTGGATAAATGATGAAATTTGTTGGCTCAAAATACTAAGCAGTTATGATGATAATTACAAAGGAAACCAGCATTTCGTTTTTGTAGGCTATGACCGATGACTTATACATTTAAGCTTATAAAATAGTCACAATTATATGGCTTTTGAAGAAAAGCATTTGCTTGAATCACTTTCTTTTGAATGCATAAATGTAGTTAGTTGTTGTAAACTTCTCCCAAGTGCTAGTGTATACAGTATCAATTAGGTTATGCAAGCATTCGTCTTTATTCCGGGTCTATTTAGATTGTTAACTTATGGATTAAAAGCCAACCAGTCTTTGCATCTGTGTCTGATATATATTTTTGGCTTCTTACCACCCTCCCTTTCCTCTTCATTTGCTTATTCTGCATGGGCAGGGTGTTCTTGTGTTTTTTTCTTTAGCATGATTGTTTCATTTGGTTAATTATATTATTAAAAATATAAAATGATGACTAAGTTATTCACTAGAAGGCACGGAAAGGCCTTACACACCTCCATAAATAAACTATGTCATGTACCAAATTAATAAGATTCTCAAGGGGATTTCTTGATGTCCAAACGGTATAGGACTTGAAATATACTCTTCATTTGGTACATTGGCTCCTTAAGAATCTTCTAAACATCTCCTTTTTCTTTCCTCCAAACACTCCAAAATAAGAAAAGAGGGGCAATCTTCCACACCTTCCCTATTCTATCCCCAAATCCCCAACAGAAATTCAGAGACATAATCCCATTTTCCTAAGATCAAGCAATGAAGAGCTCTCTTTAACCAACCTCTTGTGAAGGTCCTTTTTTATTTCTTCTTGTCCTCCCACTCCTTCGTGAGAAAGTTTCTGTTGGCTGTCTCTCTTCATCATGTATCTAGTTGTTAGTAAATTTCTGTTGTCCAAGTAGGGAGCTCTCTAATGGTTTCCTCAATGTGTTGTAGTTTATCTTTCTTTACTATTGTTTCTCTCCCGTTCATCTTTGGCTGTGCAATAATGCAATTATTAGGCAGTTGCTCTGGTACGTGGTTTTCTCTCTCCCTTCTCTCCTGGAAGTTAGGGAAGCAATCTTGTCGCATAATGTTTTTCTTAACATTTTATCTGGCTATCTTTTTCGCTGCAGTGTAGGTGGATTCTTTCAGCGTCATTTTGGGAAAGAGGTATGTGTTAAATTGTTTTATCTTTGGATACTTGCCTCTCTGTCTCTCTGTCTCTCTCTCTCTCTGGTGCTTGGAAAGATGGATATATAGAAACATAAGATATATAACTGAGGCCTAACTGCTAGTTCTGGCAGAACAATTTTGGGGCATACAAGAATTTCTTTGGTTTGTCTAATGATATGAATATGCATGTAGTAAAGTCCATTACTTGAAAATATTACTTTGGAAATATTTCATGCCTCTTCTGTTTTTCTCTTAAGGTGGTTGACTATCTAATTGACCCTTTCGTTGCGGGCACATGTGCTGGGGATCCTGAATCACTCTCTGTGAGTATATATGATTGCTTTGGAATTGACATGAATAATATAGACCCCTCCCTATGGTAGCAAAAAGTAAAAAAGGAAACAGAAAAAAAAAATTCTAGTCACTGTTATGACCTGTACTTGACATTTTGCTCATAAATGTCATGTTAAGGATAAATTAAAAAGAAACCCCAGCAACTTTCTCTATGTTGCAACTTTTGCTTAATAATATTTTTGGGTGGGGTTGCTGCATCTTTTACTTTAGTAAGTTGTTTTTATGAGCTGTGTCATCTTCACTTATTGATCTATCACATTATTATTTTAGTTCTTTAACATTATTTATTCTCATTTCATTTTCCAAACAGATGCCCCATGCATTTCCAGAGTTATGGAACCTAGAGAAAGAGTATGCCGCATGCACATTCTTCTCCCTTTTTTCCCCTAAATTATTTTAATCGTAGTTGTTCTTTGCTATCTGCTTCAGTTTTTCTCTTGATTTTCTGGTATTACAGGATTATAACTACTTTCATTCATACTTTTTAATATCTCCCAGAAATCTTTTGATCTGGCATGATCACTTTTCCTTATGTGTCAAAACTGTGTGCCCTTCTTGGTTTTAGTTTTAATGATGATGAAACTTGAGCTCAATTACAGTAGCAAATTTATGCCAAATCTGTATGGCTTGATTCCTCATAATGTTAACAGAATCTATGGAGATGTTATAATTTATGAATTAATTGTTACATTATTTCTGAGTGTTGTTGCAATCATGTAAATGCTAATAAATTTCACCAAACAACAGCCAAATGGGATTTATGTTAGTTGATCAATAGCAACTTTTCTCTACTATCAGGTTTGGTTCAATCATATTTGGGGCAATTCGATCTAAATTTTCTGCCAAAAGGGAAAAAAGTGGTGCACTGAACAGTTCAACAAATAAAAAGCATCAGCGTGGTTCATTTTCATTTTTGGGTGGAATGCAGGTAAAATATTCTTGGGTGACTTCTAGTACTTTTGTGCCTTATACAGCATCTTAATGTTGTATGAAGGAAATGCTTGCCAAAGTAACTACTTTTAGAAAACTCTGGCACAAAATGGAATTAAATCTCAGTCATAAAATGGTATGTTATGTTGACCATATGGTCCATTGTCGTATTCCATGTTTTCTTATATTTCCCCTCATCCATCTCAGGATCCTCTTTTGGGCAGCACTCATTGTCTGAATGTGTTTCTTTCTCAACAATTTTATACCATAAATTAAGCTAAAGTGTTAAACTTTGTCTAGAAATGATCTTTATGTAAAGGGGAAGGAGATTTGATCTGTAACTGTAGAACCCTTAAATTGTAGAATTCACAGAAATTCGACGCTTGTCATTCTATTGAAAACCAATGCTTGGAGATGTATTTCAGCAACATTTCATGCCTTTATACAGAATGGCTGGTTCTTGTTATCTGATCTGATCCCTTTGCCTTTGCAGACTCTCACAGATGCACTGTGCAAAGATCTTGGCAAAGATGAACTTAAACTCCAATCAAGGGTGCTGGAATTATCTTATGGCTGTGAGGAGAACTCTGTGTCAGAGTGTTGGTCAGTTTCTTATGCTCCAATACATGACAAGCAGTCAGAAGAGCAATCTTTCGACGCGGTAGTCATGACGGTGAGTATGTTCAATATGTAACTATCTTTATTGGTGATGACAGTATTTATTCTGTTGTAACTTGCAAGAACTGATTACTCTCTTTACTATCTCTTATGGAAACTGGAGTTCTGTCTTCCTACACACGGGACTTGATTGGTGCTAGTTGCATTACTCAAATACTATATTTGAGTTGTTGAGAAAGGAAATTACAGCAGTAACGAACAAAGAAATGAACTTTTTTTCCTTCCAGTCATGCAAATGCCTCACCTGGCTTAGTTAGAAAGGAAACAGTATCGCAATGACACGGATACTTCAAAGCTTGTTACCATTTGTTGCCCTTAAAATTTAGAAAATAAGATATATCAGAAAGGCACAGCATTGTGACATGCAGAGTTTACTCTATGGATGAGTTGAACTGGTTTGACTTCATGCTGGCACACACACACACACACACACACCACAAGTCCACACACATACCTGTGGAGAAGCATACATAGTCAGACACTAAGTCCTTGTCAAACTCACTTTCTTTTTTTTATTGTGTATGAAGCAATGTGATTTACTGATGAAGAGCCTGTATATGTTAGGCCCCTCTCTGTAATGTTAAAGAGATGAAGATTACAAACAAAGGAAGTCCGTTTTTGCTTGACTTTCTCCCTGAGGTATATATTCTTGTAGCTCGACTGTGAACATGTTATGCATATCCTTAGCCACTGTGTTAAAAGATTCCACCAATTCTCTCATGAAATTACAATATTAGTGTCATAGTGTTAAATAGGGAAATAAACTTGGATGGAATGTAAGAATACTTGCATCTGTGCCTACCTATATATATATATATGGTTTATTGTGAATAAAAAATTGATATGTTCACAATTATGTAGTCAGTGATATATAGACAGTTTTGTAACAATATGTTGCCCCAGTAGTTGAAGTGGTCACAAACAGCTCAGTCAGTAGCATTAATTGACCGTCCTTGTCAATAATGCAGGTGAGTTATCTGCCACTCTCTGTTATAATCACCACATTCAAAAAGGAGAATGTCAGGAGACCACTCGAGGGGTTCGGAGTTCTTGTTCCTGCTAAAGAGCAACAAAATGGTTTGAAAACCCTGGGTAAAGATTAGCTGTAATTGCATAAGCTTGCATTTTCATTTGGATAAAACTAAAAGGGCAGCTTATTTTTTGAACTTATTTTTGTCATTTCTGAACTTATTTTTTTACTTTTTAGGTCTGTCTCGACTAGACGAATAAAAAGCTAAAAAAGCGAACTCCCAAAAAAAGTTGATGTTTGACTGGTATTGCCACTGAAATTTCTGTGATGCAGGTACTCTCTTCTCTTCTATGATGTTTCCAGATCGTGCACCTAGTGACTTGTATCTTTATACTACCTTTGTTGGGGGGAGTCGAAATAAAGAACTGGCAAAAGCTTCAACGTAAGGGGAGCTGAAATGCCTTATCTTTTGTGAAATATATCCTTCAGACTGCATTTTGCTTTCAAATGTCTTGTTGCTAGTACATATATTCTGAACTAACTAATTCCCTCATATAACTATGGTTATAGGGACGAGTTGAAGCAGGTTGTAACTTCTGACCTTAGACAGTTGTTGGGTGCAGAGGGAGAACCAACATTCAAAAAGTATTGAAACCCTTAACACTCCATGATTTGTATTATTCATTTATTAAATTCTCTCCAAAAGTGTCGTTGAGATCGGGAGTGAATCTTTTACTCTCTTAAATATTGCATACTTAATTTCAGTCACTTCTTCTGGAGTAAAGCATTTCCACTATATGGGCATAACTACGATGCAGTTTTACAAGCGATTGAGAAGATGGAAGTAAACCTACCTGGATTTTTCTATGCAGGTAACTTCTTTGTTGGTGCTAGCATAACAACTTTGGAATAAAATAACTGTCACTGATATGTAATCATTTTCAACCCATCTGGCTGATAGCCTATCAGATCTTGCAATTTTAGAAACTTTGCATGTTTGAAATTATTAATACCATCTAGAACAAGTTCAAGACTTGTTGGAGCTTCTCTGTGCATTGACTAATAGGGTACGATTTGGTGCTTTTATTTGTGTTATTTTTCTTATGTAACCAACCATGAACTTGTTAGGTAACCATAGAGGAGGATTATCTGTTGGCAAAGCGTTGTCATCTGGTTGCAAAGCAGCTGACCTTGTAATATCATATCTGGAGTCTTCTTATGATGATAAGTTGTCCGGGGAGAAACCTTGTTGAAGACATGAGGTGGCCTTATTGGTTACTACATAGACCATGCTCTACTTCTTGTTCTCATTTTCCTCGACTTTGAAGCATGGAAGATTGGGTTTGTCGATCATGATGCACATGTATCTGATGTACTAGGATTTCGAATAAAATTTTCAGGATTTCCTTCTCAAGTTCAGACCACTAATTTCCTCTACTAATGAGACCCAGGTTTGCTCATCACACAGACACCTCTGCTCATTATTTGCAAGAACTCAAAAGCCAAAAATGAAAATATAGTTTCTGTAACACAGATTGGGCTGTGACCCATCAGTTGTCCTTCAATCATGGGTTGTATCAGTAGAATACTTGTGTATGAGTTAGTTCTTGTTGAGTGAATAAGGGTGTTGTCTGATCATTTTCAATTATTTTGTTAAACAACCTTTTTCTATGAGTTCCTTAGGGTATCCTGACATCACTGCGCTGCTCTTGTCATTGCACATTTAGCTTGCTATTAAGTTGAAATTTATTATGTCCATATAATTGCATTCTTAACAGCATACAAGAGGAGCCAAATTAAAGTCTCTTATTCTTTCTCACTTTTGCAATTCTGCTGACCTAGATAATTAAGGAACTGTGCCATTCAAATGCTCAAACATCATTATGCATAGGTTGAGACATTGTTTAATATTAAGAATTGTATAAAAATGTTTTTTATTTTTTTCCCTTCATTTTCTAGTGTCGAGGGGCACTTATTAGCAGAATTCCTGATAACATACATATGTATGTTATGTATGTTTTATCAATTTGAAGTTTATTATAAAGTTGGTTTGTGTCGTTATGAGATGGTAGGTTGCAATTGATGCATGGATGGATAGGGAAAAAAGATAGGATTTTTGGTACACATATATGTAGCTCTCATAGCCTCTCAATGGTGGTCCAATCCATTATTTCTATGGGTCTTTTTATACTTGCATTGCAGACATTAAATGAGGGCCAAGGGTGGGACCATCATTATCAACTTTCCTGCCCCCAATAATAAAATTGGTCTGTGTCTTTATATAGATCGATATTCTGGATTGGAAGCTAAATATATCAGCTTTAACTTTAATGATGCTGTTTGTTTTTTGTGCTTATTATATTCAATCATAACCCAGTTAATTTCAATCATATATGGGTGGGTCAAGTTGTGTTCTTTTTAAAACTTTTGTGTGTGGTACTATACATTTACAATGTTGGGTTTAAATGATTGGTTAAGATGATGACATTAATTATTTGGATTTGACACAAATATGAATTGTAAGTTTTTTCAAAATGTTATTTTTTACGGCAGTGCTACGTAGGTCGAAATTCTTTGGCTCGAATTTGGCTCGACACCAAAACGACGTCGTCTTGGTGTCTTTTTTTCCTTTTTTTTTTTTTTTTTTTTTTTTCTTTTTCCTGTGTTTTTGTTCAATCAGAAACGAAGAGGAGAGAAGAAGAAGAGGGGATGAGGAGGAGAAGAAGAAGAAGAAGAAGAAGAAGAAGGGAAGGGGGAAGGGAGAAGGGAGAACTGGACAGGAGGGGGCCTCAACCAATGGCGGAGGAGCGGTGGAGGCGCGGCGGAGGCTGTGGTGCTGCGACGAGCTGTGATCGGCGAGGCGGTGGTGCTGCGACTGCGACGATCGGCGAGGAGGTGGTGCTGCGACAATCGGCGGCGGTGGTGCTGCCTCCTCCTCTTTCTCTTCTCCTCTCTTCTCTCCTTCTTTCTCCTTTCCTCTTCCCTCTGTTTGTGCAGAGCTCCTTTGCTTGAAAAGGAAAAAAAAATTCGAGCCGTTTCAAGCCTCTCAGTTTCGAGCTCTGAGTCATTTTCCTATTTTTTAACATTTTTTTTGGTACCAAATCTCTCACTATAATGATGTGGATACGATGTTTTTACAATTTAAAGAACCTTACAGGAGGATGTATTGTCTTTAATATTTCACCAAGATCCTTACAATATTTCACCCATGTAAAAAAAACAGCAAATTACAAATATTCCCTCGAGATTTGATGAAAATATAAATTTCTCTCTGAGGTTTGAGAAATTACATCCCGCTCCCTAAGATTTATATTTTCATAACAAATTGCCCTCTGAGGTTTTTATTTTCATACAGATTTTCCTCTAATTTCTCTTAATTTATTATGAAAATTTGACCCTCAGGGGGCAATTTGTAATTTTTCAAACCTCAGAGAAAAATCTGTATTTTTACCAAATTTTGAGGGGTGTTTGTAATTTGTCCTAAAAAAAAACTCTATTCACACTATGCCACCGTTTGGCAAGTTGGTTTTGAGGTTTTTCGGGTTAAAATAATTACAAAAAATAAAATAAGTTTTTTAGCTCAATAAAACAAAACATCGCATCCAATCCATAATCATTACATTCTTTCTCTCACAAAAAAGTCAAAAAAAATAAAAAAAGTCAAAAGTCCTTCCCAAACTAGATTTTTTAGCCCCAAGTTAAAATAGTTAAAAAAAATTAAAAATTAAAAAGTCAACCCACTTTCCAAACGAACCTTATATGGGACTGTTGCCTTCACATTTTGTTTTTTTTTTTTTTGGGTTGTTTGTCGTTTTTTTTTATTAATAAAATATGAAATGTGAATATTATGTTACGTTTGGTAGAATTTTATAAATATGATTTGAGAATATGAGTTGTATTTTAAGTTTGTGAGTTTTGGAATTATGATTTGAATGTAGAAAATTTGTTTGGTGAATGAGTTTTGAAAAGAATTTTTGAATTGAGTGATGTGACATAATTTCTATACAAAAATTTATAACTCATAACCAAATACAACCCAAAATTCTGTTCAAAACTCATAAAAAATAAAAAATAAAAATTGAAAATATTCTTTATTTAACATATAAAACTAACAAGCGTAAAAAAAAATAAAAAATACAAGGATACTGTTCCGGTCAACCGGCCGAACATTTGGGAGACGTCCGGGGACATCTGCGTACACAAATTTTCAAATATAGGTATGAAAATATGTTTTAAAAATCGTAAACAAACCCCACACTCAATGTTGAATGCGAAAATGTATTTTGAAAGCTGTCACTTAATCTTTTAAATGAGAAGTAAAATAGTAGGAGGGAATCAATTTAATAGATTTTAACACTTTTCAAATGTGGTCCCAATTTATAATCATATAAAATGCAAAATTGGCTCCATGTTACATGAAAGATTCCATTTGTTTTATGAAGTTAAAAGGTTTGATTGACTGATTAGACCAAATAAAACAAAATTAAAAATTCCAAAACTAAGTTTAATTTGGAGTTTTTCAAATCTAATCTCACTCTTTGTCTGTCTTTCCCAAAGCAGTACTTTAAATCTTTATCTCTGACGTTCCTTTGTAGGCGCGTGAAACCCAAATGCGACTTGAAAAATTATTAATTACTCTTTAGATTTAAATAATATTTCGCTCCAATTCCATTTTATAATTTCTTTTAAAATTCTAACCAAAAAAATTGACAAGTCAAGTAGATTAATAATTATTAATTTTAAATATTTTTTAGATTTGCTCAAGAAATATTGAATATTAACTGTAAAATAAATTGAGTCATTTGAGTTTAGTTTACATTTAATTTATTAAAAATTTGTTTGAGAATAGTTTATTTTTGTTAATAAATCAGGCTTATGAAATTAATTATTTTTTAAATTTAACTTGATAAATTTGTATACACAAAAAAAAAAAAAAACTACTCAATATCAATTCGATTAAAGTTCAATTTAGATAACTCAAAAAAAGTAAGCAAATATTGAAACTTTGGTGTCGTTTGGTAACACTTACGTTTTCAATTTTCTGTTTATATTTATAAAAATTTTAAAAACTCAAATAAAAACTTGTTTGTTAAATTTTTGATTTATAAATCAGTGGTCTCAGTTTATAAATTTGGCCAAAAAATGTAAACTCAAAAAATGTGTTTCCATTTTGAGTTTTGAGTTTTTTTTTTTTTTACCACCCAACACTAGTCACCACCCAGCACCATTTTCCACTACCGTCTTTCGCTACCACCACCAACCACCCACCCCCACCACCACCTGGCACCACCACTCACCACCCATCTGCCACCGCCACCACCCAACCACCACCACCCAACTGTCACCCACTCGCCACCACTACCCACTCCTTGCCACTACCACCATTACCACCACTACCACCACCACCCACCTGCCATCCACCCGCCACTACCATCCACCGCCCGCTACCTACTTGCCACCCACCCTCACCACCTGCCTGCCACCCACCTGCCACCATCCACCACTACTACCACCACCACCCACTTGCTACCACCTACCACCACCGTCACCCACTCACCCATCACCACCACCACCTTCCAAGCTATATCTATGCCTTGCAAACTGTAACGCCCCAAAATAAATACAATATACTCATCTCATAACAACCAATAAATAACAACATAAATAAATTGATAAGTTTTCATAAATTAGAGTTTGATATACAAAAGGTGACACATGCAATATATATTCATAAATAGTACATCCTGAATCTATAACATGTGTTACAAGATAGTGAAAAGAAATGAAAACTAAACAAATAATCATATGCCCTAAAGACTTACATCTTTCCAAGACAATGCTTGAGTACATCAAAAGTGATTCTTAAGCTCAATATAGATAAAGCACCAGGCTTATACAAAATTAAACACAAAGTAACAACACTGAGTCTCCAGCTCCATTGTCCTCCCAAGTTAAGTCCTTGGTGGAGGCATATCACCAGCACCTCAAAATGTTTTTTCCCACATAGGGTAATCCAAAGCCTAGTAGAAACACTACAACACAATGTATAAATCTTAACAAAGTCATAAGGTTTTATGCATATGTAATGCCAGTACCAAAACATTTATATCCTTTTTCAAAAGTCGAGCCATGCCAAGTTTATATAACAATTTTCAAAACCATGCCCTTTATAATAGAAAACATGGGGAAATCTTAAACCAGAACAACCTTTTACGGATATTTCGTCCATGGGAAACCATCAAATGACACCCATGTAAACATAACCTATACAAGCGCTGCTATTGCCATTTTACGGATATTTCATCCGCGAAAATCTGCACCCATGTATACGCACGTTTTTCGAAACTTTCACTCTAGACACACAGGCCAACATGATTTGGTTATACACACATCTTTCCCACGTTTACCCCTCTTTCTCAAAATCATATACATTTTCAATGTATTAAATGAGCAATAATATTCAATGCACATGGATGAGAAATTAGTTTTAATTCACCTAATCCTCATGCAATTTCTACAACAATCATAGCTATCCTCCACTGATAGCCCA